CGGGCCCTGATTCATAGACGTGTGGTGAGATAGGCACAGCTGCTGTAGGGGCCTTTACAAATGTAAAGAAGCTGTCAGTGTTTGTTTCATCAGGCATACAACTGATGAGTGCCAAGTTGAAAAATCCACTGCAGTGTGTGGCGCACAAAAAAGCTGGAAACAAAAATAGAGAGCAGGGCCAAGGCTCACCGAGCCCTCCCTTTGACCCCTTCCCTCGCTCCGAGTCCTCCAGCTTTGCAATGTAAATGTGGGCACCTCTTCCATTTGAGAGGAGAAAGCTGCGATGCTCTGCGTGTGTGCGTGTGAGAGATTGTATGTTTGTGTTTCAGCGCCTGCCACTAGCGCCACTGCGCTTCATTTAACCCTGTGTTAATGGGTTTTCTTCTCCCGGCCCCCCCATGTGACATTGCAAAATTCATGGATCATACCACAGGAGGCCAGCTGTTATAAAAGGGCCGAGTTAATTTTGTGAGTTTGTTAGTAAAGGTTCACGAACTAGTCTGTTCTAGATTCAACACACTTAATATCCTAAAATGATCTGTGGATTGGATGTACTTGGAGTAAATTTGACAGAATCTGAATATAGAGTTTGCGTAATTCATTCTTTTATTTTCCTGTTTAATACTGTGATCTGTATTGTATGAAGCACTATAAAGTTGACTTGACTGACTTCATCATAGAAACAGTAGATATGAATAATATAAATGCTGCTATAATGAAAACATGCCTTTTTATTTCTGATAGATATAATAAGCACGCAAGTGATTAATTTAAACAAGTTAGTTGCAAAGGATATCAGAAATGTCAGAGGAAAGCAATAATGTATTTGATTGATACTAGGGGAGAGAATAAACAAAACACCTACCTATCTTTAATATCAGCAGTATTGGTTAATTAGCTGTGTGATTACTTGATATATTTTTTTCAATCGTAATTGTAATTATAATGCACATTAATGCGCATTTATTTGCGTAAATGTGTATGTGCAGGTCTTTTAGGGTCACATTTTGTTCACATTGTTGACCGATGTGGGTCGTTTACAAACCGTTTTACAAACTGGATTTTAGTAGCGACTGTGCAAATCTCTTGATGTAAAATGCCAGGACACTTCCGCAAAGCTGGCATGAGTGGCCGCTTATTAATTTATATTTATCCTTTGATTTTCACAAGGAAATTTTTTCAAAGCAGCTTGCCATAGTCCTCTGCCAAGATACGATGCTTCACCTCATGACACCATTTACGAGAATCTGGCCTGGTGCAGTAACGGATAAGTGTTGCCATTCTCCTTCATGGCTGTTGTGTCTCTGGCTTGGTGCATTATGCAATGTGATCTTTTGCTTATCGACCTTTACAGTCATATGTGATCCAGCCTTCACAAGTGCCGAGCTCCTTGGTCAATGTGTGACTACACAGGATGCATGCCCACATCAGCAAACATGGGCGGTTACATATGCGGATGTGCCCACGTAATGCGAGGAATTTGCTCTGCTGACATAAAAGCAGGTGCAGCAGTGCTTTGATAAGTGGTAAGTGTTGCACTCAGAAAGAATGTTTTTCATTCCTCTGTCCTGTACTTTGTATTATGATGAGATAAGAGGGCAGAGTATCAGATGGAGTCTCTCTCGTGCAATGTGGTGAGTGAGTTGTGGTGGGTGATGTAAATCATGCACTGGACAGGGCTTAGACGTTGATGGAAGGCTGTATCAGCAGCACAACTCTTAACGACCACATAAATGTGGCTTTTGGTCTACATCTCCTGAATTGCAGTATTGTTTTGGGTCAAAAATGTGAAGTGTTGGTCTACTTCTGGATCTTGGCTTAAAGGGATAGTTCACCCAAAAATGAAAATTAGCCCATTATTTACTCACCCTCAAGCCATCTTAGGCGTATATGACTTCCTTCTTTCAGATGAATCCAATCTGAGTTATTGTATATTAAAAAATTGACTTTAATCTTCCAAGCTGTTTAATGACAGTCAGCGGGTGTTGCAGTTCATCAGTCCAAAAGAAGTGAAAGAAAAGCGTGAAAACCAACGTTTGTTTACAAGATCAAAGGAAGCAAAGTTTCCTTACTTTAGCAAAGGAAAACCAGACTCCTCTTGGCTTATATCGAAATCCTCCGACATTCTTCTTTACAAATCCTCGTTTTGTACTTCTAATTCGTGAATGTTGTTTTGTTTTGATCTCTCCGCTGCGCTTCCACGTTCGTCACTTCTGAGCGGTGCATGCGCAAGGCCAACATCCTATGTCATCCGCCTGGAGCTGCTTCCGTGTACAACAGTGAGAGCAAGCTATATTAAATTGATTATTAAAGGGGTCATATGATGCTTTTTTAAAGATCATTAATCTCTTTGGTTTTGAGACTTTAGTCTTTGCAACTTCAGGGATCTTATCTATTCACGAACAGCTTGTAACACTCCAAAGAGAAAGGAAAACTTGAAATCGCATCATATGACCCCTTTAAGTTTTAAATATGGTTATTTTTCTTACAAAACGTATCGATTCGCTAAGGGAGGCCTTTGTTCACCCCCCCGGAGCCGTGTGAGGCACTTTTTATTATGGATGGATGCACTTTATTTAACTTCTTTTGGACTGATGAACTGCAACACCCGCTGACTGCCATTAAACAGCTTGGAAGATCAAAGACAATTTTTTATATAACTCCAACTGGATTTGTCTGAAAGAAGAAAGTCATATACACTTAGCATGCCTTGAGGGTGAGTAATTCATGGACTCATTTTCATTTTTGGGTGTTCAGCTATTGTACGTGTCATGAGTCAGTTAACCTGGGCTGCGTTTCCCAAAAGCGTCGTAAGCCTAAGTAGATTGTAGATCTATTTTCTGTTTCCAAATTGAACCCATTGCGAAATTTGCATGGGGAAATCTTAGGTCCTTAGTGTGGATTCCTATTGAAATTACTACATTTTGCTACAAAAGTCTGTTGTACAACATTAATTGTTACCACACCATAAAGATAATAATGACCTTCACCACAGGTCAGCACAATTATATAACATTTGCTAGAATTACAACATCTACTAAAGTGGCTGCCTTTACTATTATAGAAAATTTGTTGCAAGAACTACAGTTGCCTATATGGCTGCTGTACTTGTCTTTTTAACGCTGCAATAAACCACTAAATTTGGACTGTGTCTAGATTTCAGGGTTAGGTCTTGGTTTAGATCTGGACCTCAAGGGGGTAGAACTAGATATTTCTGTAAAGCAGAAGTTAAGCTGGCTTC